CAGTATTGGCAGCAACCGAATGAATTACGAGTATGAAAAATCTTAAACTTACCTCGTTGCGTAGAGTATGAACCTCATTCTGCAACGATACTACCATCTCACGTAGAGCGGCTACCTCACCGCGTAATGTAGACACCTCAACACGCCATGCACCATCGTCTTTGCGTAAAGTACCGACCTCCTCACGCAAGGCATTGACCTCATCACGTAACTCCCCTAACTCATCCCGTTGAGGTGGAGGTGGAGAACAGGGAGATAAACGTTGTGGCATCTTTGCCGGTCGCCTATCTTGCGGTGATGGTGGAGAAGAGGCTCGATGATGTGACAGAATAGGTGATGGCTGTCGTTGTGGAGGTGTATAGCCGGGTCGATCAGATGATGGCTCTGGGTGAGGTGATAGCTCTGGGCGAGGTGATGGCTCCCGAAGTGGAGACTGCTCATCAACCGTTCCATTAAAAAAACGCTTACTAGCTTGCCACCAATCAGTGGCAAGCTCAGTTTCCGTGGGTGTCAGCCTCTGTAGAGGAGTGTTGGCCTCCTAACAATATAAAAGCTCAAACAAAGTTAAACGTGTACTAGTAATAACTTGTTTTAAACATATGGTAGTATTTATGTTAACTTACATTATTTATTGTCGTATACCGTAGTAAATCTTCCCATTGCAAGGTCCGTTTCCTCTTCCAGGAAATAGCCCTGGGAATATCATTTGAAGTTTTTATTGCATATGTCTTCATGGCGGGAAAGGCCTCAAATATCCAAATCTACAAACAATATAATAACAAACATTAGTAATTGTTAAATAATTACTTATAATTTTGGAAACATCATATAAAAATTCTTACCTTAAAGGCCCAAATAAAGCCTGTCAAAGTGTATTTGGAACCATCGCCATGCAAACTTTTTCGATCATCCAAGGCAGACGATAACTTATTCCATGTAGCTTTCCATAAATACGAGCCCCACGGAAACAGGTTCCACGCATTTAGGTCTTCTACCAATTGATTAGATCATTTGGAATAGGTTGTCTGGCCTCTCTGCCTAAAAAGCCGGCATGCAAAAGAATTAGAAGGCATACTCGGACAACGTCGACGTCATCCATCCGAGTAAAACCATCTTTATTATTCAAAAATCTTGTCAGGTCTTCTACGTGTAGACTCGGCCTCTCCAGCTCAGGAAAAACCCGGGATAGCCATGATGGGGGGTAATGTGTCTAGTGTACCAACCTACATCATCGTGTCCGAAGCGTAGACCGGTGATTAAGCAAAACTCCTCCCGCCCAAAACACGTATACACCGGTGGAAAATCAAACCATATCTTTCATCACGACGTTGTATAGTCTCTGGTAGATCGCTAGTCATGGTTTGAAGAAACAGGTGTGTCAACATCGCATCTCCACCGGGATGTTGTACTTTTAGCCATGGCCCGAAACATGTATCCTCAAACATTTTTCTTTGTGCAGGTGAAAGCTTCGACGCAATTGTTTTGGCCAGGCTGACTTTATTTCTCAAGGTCAATTAAGCCGAATAAAAGTTCTACAAAAACAATAAACATACTAAATTAGATATACCAAAACTACACTGTGAAGATATACCAAAAACAATAATAAACATAAATAGTAGTAGTTTATTCTTCAAACTTAAATATGCAACACTGTGAATTTCGTATTTGTCTTTGTTTTTTGGTTGAGTAATGCAATTCATTCAAGTTTCAATTTGCAGAAGAATAATAGTTTCTGAAAATGAAAATCGCAACACGAAAATGACTATCGCAACGAGAGAATCGCAACGCGAAACTAAAATCGCGTTGCGATTTGCATTTCGCGTTGCGATTTGCATTTCGCGTTGCGATTCTTGGTTGATTTAATAAGCAATCTAAGTGAAATGGTTAATCTATTATTGAAATTACCAGTAAACTTATCATCAATTTCAATATGAAAAACCTAATAATAATGCAAAAATTTCAAAAAGAAAATAATTAAAAAAACTAACCCTCGTTGGTTGATTTGGTTGATTTTCCATTTCTGATTGTGAGGGTGGCTCTGAGAGATGGAGATAGACGGATTTCGCCGGAGATGGGGACGGATTTCGTCGGAGATGGGTGAGAGAGTGAGAGATGGAGATGGGACTGAGTTGTGATTTTAGGTTTTAGGTTATGAGTTGCGATTACGGGATATACTGTGGACAGTTCAGTGTTCCAATATATTAATATTCATGTTTGGAATTTAAAAATAAAATACTTGGCCAGGATACTAATGGCGCTTTGAAAATCGCATTGCGATTATGTATTATCGCGTTGCGAAAGTCAGTATCGCGTTGCGAAAGTAAGTATCTCGTTGCGATTTTTTATTATCGCATTGCGATAGTCAGTATCGCATTGCGATTTTCCCAATTCGCGTTGCGATTTACTTATTCACATTGCGATTTTCCCAATTCGCGTTGCGATTTACTTATTCGCATTGCGAATTGGGAAAATCGCAACGATACTGTAAACCATCGCAACGCGATTTCCAACTATTGCAACGCGAAATGCAACGCGAATTTGCGATAATGGAGATCGCGTTGCGAATTAGCGATCGCATTGCGATTTTGTTGGTCATTTTGGCAAATCCGGAAAAAGTTGGTTAAAATCGTATATTATATGGGATTTTTGGTCACTGAGGTTATTTTCTCTAAAATAAATTGTATCACAACAACATAAACTATACAGACATGTACATATAAAATAAATTATTTGTTGATTGGATTATTCAATGTACTCAAGCAAATATTGGGAACATATTATTAATCAACACTAGGGATAGACATGGAACCCGAACCCGATAAGTTTTGACCCGAACTCGGAATAATTCGAATTGTTAAGTGAAGATGATTAAGTTTTCACCCTAAAAAAAACCAGGCTCATCAATAGATCAGAAGATGGTCAGGAGTTAATGGTCAACAAAATGATTGGCATCGACGGGAGTAAGTTATCCAAACTGGGGATAGTTACTTCTCTTCCTGTCTGCTTTGTTCCTTTGTTTTCGCACAACGGACTCCCGGACTCGAACGGAGACTTTCAGCGTGTTAGACTGACATGATTAACGATATAATAATAAAGAAAAATATTCTTAGTTGATCGATAAAAAAACTTTAATCGGCCAGATTAACGATATAATAATAAAGAATATAATTTTAAGTTCAGTTAATATTAGATCACGAATTATGTTACAAAAATATTATAAACTTTTTACAAGTAAAATACGTAATACAAATATAATATCAATAATAAATACTGCCAATTAAAAAAAATCAAGCACCCATGGCTAGGAAGTGAATCTGGCAATAGAGCGAACAAGAGCTATGGGATTTAGAGTGAACTGTCGGAGAAGAAACTAGCTTAACGGCTTCAGAAGAATTCAGTTGACACTGAAGTCGCTTAATGCCGTAAGACCACGCTAATTGAAGATCTTCAAAAATACCCCAAAATTCGGCATACAAAGGAGTTGAAATCCCAGCCGACTTGCTGAAGCCAACAATCCAGTCTCCATTACTATCTCGGATAAGACCACCAGCAGAACCATGTGAAGTGGCGATATTCACAGCGTCATCAGTATTAAGGGTAAACCAATCTCCAAGGGGCTCAGAAGCAGTTATCAGAGAGGATGAAGGGACCAAAGTTTGCTTACTCTGAAGAGTTGGTCATTTGGAAGGTTCATTCCATTAAAACTGACAGAGTTCCTTTACTTCCACACCTGCCAAGTTATCGAAGAAAAGTTAAAAGCTCCCCATTCAAATTTTTTGTCAAGTTATCGAAGAAAATGACAGAGTAAGCACAGGCAAGCATAAACATTTTTTTACCATAACAAATGTCTATATAAACTGGAATCCCAATTCATACGGAAAATTACCAGTATATTAATTGTACTTTTACCTAAGAATCTCCCCACTAAAAAGAGTTCAACGGGAAAGAGAAGAAAAAAGCTACCCATTCTACTGATTAAAGCAACAACTATGATAGGCACAGAGAGCAACACGTGCTCTCCATCAATCTGAGTCATTCATGTCTGAGACCTTCGAGCAAGCGATTGGCTGAACATAAAGGATTCAATTAATTATGGAAATATTAATAAATAATTTGAAACGTGCTATAATCTATTCTCCCAGCAAGAAACAACAAATAGCTTCTTTTTTTTGATAGAAACAACAAATAGCTTTAATCACATTACCTGCGGTATATCCCATACTCGGGACTCTTCTGCCTGTCGTAAGCATGACCATTACAGCGATCATAAACAGGACTATGAGCCCTGCCATAATCAGGACTTGGTTGTCTGCAATAAGCAGGACTTGGAGACCTCCGATGTGGACTATCCCATGTCTACCACTACCACCTCTTCTAGGACTATCATATTTGCCATCCCTCTCATCATCATCCCTTAAAGCATATTCAACAGACACGACTCTGTCCAATAACTTGCTGTAAAATGCACAAACATTAATAAAGTAGGAGCGATATCATCTCACATGAAATTAATAACAAAAAAAAAGTATATTCCCACCTTCTCTGTGTTGCCTCAAGGGCTTTGCTAGCATCCTCTTGCGTGGCAAATTGCACATGCAAAGTTCCCCCTAATGCAAACATTAAGAGCCTTCCTGTATGGCTCAAAATGCTTCATTATATCTCGTTCCCTTGTGCGGATCGGATCAAAGTTGATAACAAACAAGGTTTTGGTGGGCCTTTGACTTGTAGTTGACCTAGAACCATCGTGATGCCGACCACGTTCTCCCTGACAATAAAAATATCCTCAAAATAATTTGTTTGCTTTCATAGCCATTAAAATCAAAACCAGACACTATTGAAAGATTTAATTCACACATCAATAACATAACTTAGCCACTCCATGGAACGTAGCAGACGATCGTATCCAAAAGGTATATTGTCAAGTCCACAAATAGCATCTTCAGCGTCACGCTCATCCTCAAAATAAACAAAAGCAAACCCTATAACACAAACCAAAATCAGAAGCAGAAATGACAGTTTAGACAATTGGTGCTATACACACACAACTACATCTACATCAGCCAAATCACAGGATTTCTTTTCCCTGCAAGAACTAAGAAAATATACAGCACCTGCAAGTAGGTGAAGGAAGGGCAGATGCACATAAGGATGTAGATGCGTTGCATGATGCGCTAAATCAAGATGGTGACATGTTAGAAGTTAAAATCCAAGTTTTCAGGGTCTGAGACATTATTGCAAAGCATGTTTCGCCATTCAGACAGCAGAAGTTCAGAAATTGAAGACATTGCATGAAAGATTTCAGTGATCCTCTATACAAGGCAAAACATGATAGTTTGATAGGTCAACACCAGCCAGTGAGGTTGGTGAGTAACATAATCGAATGAAGAAAATGCAGGATGATGCCATCAGTGAGTGGCAGGAGAGTAGACAGGCAGGCATGAATTTTTTTGCAGAAAGTTGGTGAGCCTATATAGAAGCTCATTTTCCTTCAGAAGAAATTCCTGCGCCAAAACAAACACTTAATATACAATGGTTTTCTCCACTAAACTGGAACCCTTCAGGTGTCATTTAATTTCTCCCAGTTAGTGTGATCAAATATAAAGAACCCTTTATATGTACATCTGACATCCAATTCCAAAAACAAAATGATTATTTTACGAATCCAATCATTCAAAAATCAAAATCACATGCATCCTCAAGGCAGGATATAAGCAAGACTACAGCTCAACAAATCACGCCTAACATTTCCCAGATTACAGTAGCCTCAGATAAGTTGAGGAATTGTTAAAGAATGGACAGGAACAAGGTAACAGATTTGAAGGACAAAACTAGCACACAAGTTGTTCATTTACCATGAATAAAAATTATATCATGAAAGTTAGCAATGTGAAGAAAAAAAACCAAAAATAGTAATTCAACGGGAATATTTGTTATGAGAAAAATTCTCTTGGCATTGAATGGGAAACAATTTTTTTTGAGGAGACGCCACCATTTGCAACTGATCGAGATTCCAGAACAATAATAAAAACTATGATATTAACTACTATGTTCCCATTACCAATCAATTAAAGTCAAGAAAATGAACTACAATCGGTAAACTATCAACAAAATGTAAATGAGAAGACGCAACGAACCACATAAAAGATGCAATTTTAAATTCAGAAAGTCTCAATTCATTGTTTTAATAAAGAGATTTACCAGATTTCATGTCAACCCGGTCGATCCTCCCATACTTTGAAAACAAACGCTCCAGCTCTCACTGCCAAGTCTCGAACTCGAAATTCCCCATAAAAACTGGCCTCATTTCCACCAAAAAAAATATTGACACCTTATCTTCAGCAGAAACCTAATCGAGAAAAGACAAACAGAAAACACAACATTAAAACCCTAAAATTAGGGGAGAATCTTATAGTACTATTAGGGTTTCAAATTGCGCTCTTCCGGCCGCTATATCCCGTAAGTGGCGCCGTCCGCCACAGCTAAAGACCTCCATATTGGTCTGAATAAATTTCACCTCAAAGTAGCAGCGGATCGAGGCCGCAAATAGCATATGTAACGGAAAATAGAGGCGATATCAGTCGGCTATTTCAGCTAAAACACAATGGCTTTTGTAAATAAAAAACTAAAAAATTCCTTCACAACAAAGTAATCAGAGAGAGATAAATAAGCATTACGATCCGAAACAGAAACTCATATATTGCAGAGGCAGAGAGATGATAACTCGAAACATCGTAACTCAAGTAGAAATCAATCTTCGAACTAAATTTAGGGTTTCAGGTATTACCTTAACGATAAAGACGAGGCTTGTTTGTCGGCGGTGATGTATGAAGAAAGTTTTGAGTGTGGATCGGGAATTTTAAAAGAAAATTACAGAAAACTTTTTTTTTATATATTTTAAGGGTAAACTACACCATAACCACTTAACTATGTGAGAATTCTATTTTGACTATCACTTTTTCAATTCTATTAATCAGAACATTTAATTGTTTTTTCCCCAAAGATAAACTACACGTTTAGTATGCAAATTATCATTTTTGTTCCTTTTTTATCACCTAATTATTTTTGTTTTAAAATCATACTTAATGTTATGGTTTTGTTTCATTCTTGTCACCCACAGTGAAAAAATTAACGATGATGTTGGCATGTCAACGGGTCAAGTTCTGATTAGGTTTAAGTCAATGATTCGAGTTTAGTTCAAGTTAGATTGATCTAATTCTTAAATTGGTTTGATCGATTTGCTAAAAATACTACTACATGAGCAACGACAACGTGTGAGACACCCTCCGATGATCGAAATCTTACCAAAATTTTCAGATTTACATTTTAATCCTCAATGAAGTTGATTTGCAACGAAGAATGATAGAGACGTGGTTTTCACAAAACTAATGATGATACCTCGTCCTTAATGGGTGATTGCAACGTCAACTTAAGAACAAAGACACCAAACGAACGGAAACAATGGGTTGAGTCAATTGACATTGGCGGTGACACCCACGACGATAAAATGACAAAAATTAAACATCAAAAGAGAGGATAAAATGGAAGATGCAAAATGCATAGGATAGTTTTCACAGAATGAGAGAAGAATAAAAAATTGGGTAAACTACAGAAATGATCACTTTCGTTTGAATCTTATAAACTTTTTCTCACTAAATTCAAAAAACATAATATTTGGTCACTTTCGTTTCAATTAAGATGTGGTCACTGAAGGTTAACGGCCGTTAAACTTTTAATAGTTTGTTGACATGGCACGATAAATATATAAAATTAGAATTACATCATTTTTATGTAGATACTACGTGGATTAAGGTTTAGTCAATTTTCTTTCACATTTGTACACCTTTACTCGCTAAATTTAAAAAATAAACATAAGTTTTGGTCTCTTATGTTATCGTTTTATTAAGTTCTGGTAACTTACGTTATTGTTTCATTAAGTTTTGGTCACTTGGACATTGAATGTCATTAGTTTGGTGACATGGCATGTTAGTGAAATGGTTTAATTTTTATTTTAACCTCACACTTTAGACAATATTGATTATGAGTCTTTTTGTAAATTCAAATTATTTTAGGGACAATATTTCAATTTATCCATTATTAATAGGTTTTCTTCCCAACCTCATTGTTGTTCATTTTATCCCTCATTCTTCACATATCTTTGTTCAATTGCTCTATTTGCCTTCTTTCAATGGCTCATGCTACATTTCATGAACAATGAAAGAGTTCAACTTCAAATAACAAATAATAACACCATAAGTTAAGTGAAAAATGAGAGGGTAGACATATAGAGATAAAATGAAGCTTGGTAAACTAAGCTATACAAACTAAAAATCAATTTCAAAAGATTGAGATTGCAGAATGCCAAATCCAACAAGGAACAAGAAGACAAGTCAATAGATCCAATCAAACAACTCACCACCGAGGCAGAGCTCTAATACGAAGTGAACATCGTTTTGATATTCGTAAACATCGTAAAGGTCTATCATGTTCGGATTCTATGAAACATTCTCGACAATCTTTCACATAACAGGTATTTCGTTGGTCAACAATGTGTCAGAGATGGAAACATGATATTGTATCGTCAATAACGTCGCCATTGAAAAAGCTCTAGTTTTCTCAACTCGAGGCAGTGATGTCGTCGTGGTAGTGTATCTTTTTAGAGTTTTAATGGTGAATTCTCTGTATTTTTCACGATCTTCATTACTTCATTTTATACCTCTCCTTACAACTAAGAACCCATCTAACTTGACTTTTAATAATTACAACTAATAATTAGAAACAAGAAGGATATTGCAATGGAGCAAAGATGTCTAAAGAAGAAGCGAGGAGAATATGAGAAATATTGGGGGTTGAGGAGAAAAATATTAAAAAATGAGTAAATTGAAATATTATCCCTAAATTAATTTGAATTTACAAAAGACTCATCATCAGTATTTTGTCTAAAGTTTAGGAATTAAAATAAAAATTAAACCCTTTTACTAACAGGTCACATCATCAAACTAACGACATTCAACGTCCAAGTGACCAAAACTTAATAAAATGATAACGTAAGTTGTCATACCTTGTGTTTTTTTTTAATTTGGTGAGCAAAAGTGTACACATATGAAAGGAAAGTGAAAACTTAATACATGTATTATCTACATGGAAATGATATAATTTTTATTTTATATATTTATTGTGTCACTTCAGCAAACCATAAAAGGTTTAACAGTCGTTAACCTTCAGTTACCACATTTTAATTAAAACGAAACGAAAGTTAACAAATCTTATGTTTTTTTAATTCAGTGAGGAAAGGTTATAAAACTCAAACAAAAGTGAAAATTTTTGTAGTTTACCCTAAAAAGTAAATGTTTTAATACCCTAAAACTTGAAATAATTATACAACCAATCCTTATACATTTAAAAGTTTTCTAAATAGCAATGAATTTTCCTAAATACTTCAACTTAACATAGGGGTGGCAATTGGGTGGGGAAAAACCTAAAACTGTGGAGATCCGAACCGACGGGGATGGAGAATAACCAAAATCTTCACCAACGGGGAGATGAGGGAAGTTGTATCCCCGAAGCTCAAATGGGGATGGAGACATGGATTATTAAATCCGAACCGTGGGGATAATCAGATCGTACCCGTGTGAATAACCATTGGGATCCTCAAAAAATAACCGTAAGGATCCCCGATATTTTACAAAAATAACCATGGGGATCCACGAAAAATATATGTGAGATTATGTGTTGCCACTGTTACATCTCAAAAGAACTAAAATTGAAAAGTTTAGATCTTTTCTCATTTAATATACATTAATTTTTTAGATTGAAAATGATTAAGATTGCACATATACATTGAGTGTTGGATGATTATCGACATTTGAAACTTTAATATTATAGATAGAGACCAATTTGAGACAATTTGATATATCTTATAAGTTTTAGGTGTTGCATTGATTTAAAAAATGTTTATTTATTTTTTTTGGATGAAGATTAACCAAAACCCACAAAGGAGAAGAAGATTGAAAGTTAAAAAGTAACAATAGATGCAAAACATGCAGCACGATACTATGATGCATATGGTCCATGGACTCCCAGCTGGTGAAGCTATTGAAGGACTACAAGTAGTAAGAAAGTGTTCGCTTAAGAATATGCTTTTATCAATGTTATAATTGATTCTAATACATAGAATGCATTGATCCTAAGTTAAAATGTAATTTAAAAGATGCTAATGAAAAACCATAACGAAGACTTCAAACCTAAAATAGCGTATTTATAAGACAATCAACATAAGTTATTTATATTAACTATAAATTCGATTTGACATACTTTGTTGAAATAAAACATTCTACATTATATTCGAAATCTTATGAAATTAGTTTAATAAAATTAAAAGGTAAAAAATCAAGAAAATTCATTAAATATGTATGTTTGTGTATTGAAAACAGATTTTGAAAATTATTTTTAGAAAAATTAATCAAACAGCGGAAAATGTTTTCCAGAAATATAATTAATTTTCTAGAAATTGTTTTCCTTGAAACAAATAAACTCCCAATTCAGCTCGTTTACGCCTCTAATTTACACTAAGGTTGTAAGAAAAATAATTTACTTTTATGTTGGGGTTGAAGTTAAGTAAAGAACAAAAAAAAGACAATTACTTTCTTTTATTTGGATTGTTTTTGGTGGTTAGGTGTTTGATTTTCCCCTAAAAACTTAGGTTCAAGTTTTTTTTAAAGAGCTTTTGATATATTTTCCCTTAAGTTTTTCCAACAAGACGAAGTTGTTTTAGTGTGATGTTCATATTGATAATTGTCACCTACGTAATCGTGTCATTACTAATTTAACGGTCTAACACTAATTAAAGTAAAAAAATTAAAATTTAGTAATATGAATGGTACATCATCCAAAATTCAATGATATCTGATGTAATTTATCTTTAATTTGTTTTATGTCGATTTTTCATTAAAAATTGTCACATAACAATATAGGGACACATGTTTTACTACTTCATTATTATAGATACTCATTTTCGTCCGGAGTTTTTTAAATATCGTATAGTTTTTGTTTTTTTGAAACATACAGTTTGTTTTTTTTTTTTAAATCGGTTTTTAAAAACATATATATATTATATAGTTTTGAAAACATATATATAATATATAGTTTTTAAAAAACATTTTGAAAACATGTATATAATATATAGTTTTTAAAAAACATTTTGAAAAAATATATATAATATATAGTTTTTGAAAACATATATATTATGTAGTTTTGAAAACATTTTGAAAACATATATAATATATAATTTTTAAAAACATTTGAATATATATATATATATATATATATATAATATAATTTTAAAAACATTTTGAATAATATATAATATATAGTTTTTAAAAAATGTTTTAAAAATATATATAATATATAGTTTTGGACAATATTTTTGAAAATATATTATATAGTTTTAAAAACAATGTTTTTGAAAATATATAATATATAATTTTAAAAATGATTTTTTCTTTTATATTATATTAATATTATTTATGTAACATCCTCCATGTCGGGTGAGTGATTGATTTGCAAAGTTTCAACATTTGGGGATTAAAGTAGAATGATTATATAGTTTAAAAATAAAGGTTAGTAAATATGAAATGAAGGTAGGGACCAAATGGTCATTGGTAAGGAAAATTTAATTAAAATAAAATGTTATGGGGTATATGAGAACCACGTGGAGTATTAGGTTCCAGAATACTCTCATTCCTTCTTTCTCATTTTCTTCTCTTCCTTCTCTCAGCGTGGCTTGCAATTAAGGTAAGAATCTGAACTTGGTAGTTTCTTTGATGTTTTAAGATTGGAAATGAAAGCTTGGATGTTATATAAGCTAAAGGAAAGCTTATATGACATTAAAACAACAAGATTAGTGTTTTATAGATAGATTTGGAAAATGAGATTTTAGATGAAATTTTGATATGGATGAGTTTTTGATGTTTGAATCAGATTTTTGACTTGTCAATAAGCTAATTAAGAAGTATGAGGGGTTAGAATTCAAATTAGAACATATTGAAAATTGGGTTGGATTCTTAAATTCTACATGGAGAATTAGATTTCTAAGTTTTAGAGGTATTTAATGGATAATAATTAGTTTAAGTAAGTGTATAAGAGCTAAGAGTAGTAAAGGGATTGAAATATGTAAGTTTGAGTTGAAATGGGATGATTTCCGAGCTCAAATTAGGATTTTCGGGCTAGGGGAATCGGTACCCATTCAAGGGGAACCGATACCCCTTCAACGAATATGATTTCCAGAATGCTAGAGGGGAATCGGTACCCCCAGGGGGGGAACCGATACCCCCTCATCGTATATGAAATTCCAGACTGCTTGAGGGGAATCGATACCCCTAAGGGGGGGAACCGATTCCCCCATGAGAAAAAGAAGAAGAAAGAAAAGAAAGCAAGACTAAGCTATAAATTCTTTAAATTAGTAAGCTATTAAAGCTTAATTGCAAGACATAGACATCTGATGATCATCTTAAAAATTATGTTTATGTAGATACCGAGCCTACTCGAGTTCGGGAACAATCTACAAGTAGAATCGATCGAGGAAAAGGCAAAGAAGTATAGGTGAGTGCATATGCATAGCATGAATATCGTAGTATATTCAGTTCTAGACTTGTGATAAGTCTAGATTCCATATTTTGACATATGATTACATTCCATATTATGATACATGACATGAATTTGTATTAAATGTATTACATGACATGAATTCATATTATATGTATTACATGACTTGAATATGCAGAAAAAGTTATATGAACTATGTGATAAAGGTATGTAAATGATATGTCTATGTGTTAAAGGTATGGAAATACTATGTCTACGCGATATGAACTACGGGAAATGTATAAGCCCATGTTATGTAGATGAGAACTATAGGTATAGTTGGCATGCCAAGGGTAGAGGGTATACTCGGTTCTTTAGGACATATGTATATCCTTTGGAACCTGTGTGAAGTCTTGAAAGACACATACTTGATCCAAAGTATATGTCTATGGTTCTTAAAGAATTCTACGTGGTCCTTATGGACATAATTCTACGGGCACTTCGGTGCAATTCTACGGGCACTTCGGTGCATTTATACGAGCTGTGGTGACAGCATAGTGCACAACCTCACATTACTCAAATACCTTAGGTTCTCAATACGCTATCATGGGCCAATAAACTTATTAATACAGAATAATGAATGTTACAGTCATACGCTTACAGGTATGGATATTGATGAAGTATACTACATTGATTAGTTACATGTTTGCATCTCATCTCATATGATCCTGACATTTTCATTACATTACATTGCCTTATTATTGTTGCCTCACTAAGTCGATGACTTAGCGTGTGAGTGTTTCACACGTAGGATCCGAGGAAAATAGAAGAGACAGGTGAAGCAGCTTGACAGTATTACTCCTGCAACCATCAGATCAGAAGCAACTTATCAGTAGGTTATTTTGTTATGTAAATAGCAGTTGGCATGTAATTAAAGAGTTAAGTTGTGTATGCTCTGAATATTTTTGTAAACTTATATTACAGTATGTATATTATTGTATTTTCTTAATACAAGTCCCAATATTTTACTATTATTTATTAAGAGTTGTGTTTTAAAGTCAATGTAGTATCTCTGACTCATATCCGGGTCGGGTATGGGTTGGGGGTGTTACATTTAATGGTATCAGAGCTATGGTTTAGCCGATTCTAGGCATAAACCAGAGTCTATGGAGTCTTTAAATGGAATACATGCCAACTAATAGTGAGAACTTCTGATCTGGTATAGTATGAGTATGCTGTTTTGCTAATAGGATAATGTATTTATTCTTATTAGATGTCCGGACATAATAGCTCCCGAAGTGAAGCGGGAGAAGATAGGCATGCTGAAAGCAGTAATTCACCTGCCCTGGCCAGGCAAGGTGAAGAACAGGCATCTCAAGGAGTGCCTGTGCAAGATCAAGATACGTTCTTCAGAACGTTAGACGCTATTCTGACGCGTCTTCAACCTCCTGCTCCACTAACTCCACGAATTAATTTAGCAAAAGAGTTGAGAAGTTTAGGAGCTCCCGAATTTAAGGGAGAAGCTGAGGAAGGTCCAGTGTCAGCGGATCTGTGGTTGAATGATTTGAAAATCATGTTAGATGGTCTCCACTGTTCCGAAGTGGAGAAATTAGATGGAGCTGTTTCTTTATTGAGGGGTCAGGCGAGGATATGGTGGACGAACGTCACCATGAGGATGTCAACCGACCAGTTGACTTGGTCTTTGTTTTTAGATGAATTTAAAAGCAAGTATATTGGAGATCAGTTTATCCGACAAATGAAGCAGGAATTTATGAATTTGAAGCAGATGAGCCGCTCTGTGTATGAGTACGAATGTGAGTTTAATAAGCTGAGCAGGTTTGCAGCTGAGCTTGTGCCTACTGAAAAAGATGCTTGCGAGTGGTTCGTGGAGGGCTTGCGCCCTAGACTTAAAGAAATGTTGATAGTATTAAACCTGTCCTCGTTCCAGGAGGTGATCAATCGTGCAAAAGCTCTTGAAAGGGCTCAGAATGAAAGATTTGGGGACTCGAGAGTTCAGACATCAAAGAGGACGACTACTTATTCTGGTTCAACACCAACAAAAAGGGGAAGAGACTCGGGATTTCGATCACAAACTAGATCAGAATCAGTTGCATCGTCTGCTAGGGGAGCAAGTCAGGCAAGAACTAGACAGACGCAGTCAGTGGAATCCGGTGCTGGGAGATCTACTCCGGGTCAAAGGAAACAGTGTGAGCACTGCAGGAAAAACCATTATGGGGATTGTCGTATGGCAGCTGGGACTTGTTTTCGATGCGGAGATGCCGGACATTTTGTCCGGGATTGTCCCTTGATTGTTGGTGAGCCGGCACCATCTGGAAGAGCTGGTTCTTTCACAAAGAGGACGAGGAAGAGGCAGAGGAAGGAACCCGTCTGAATTCTGCTCAACCTGAAGTTCGATCCACTGCTCGAGTATACAACCTAAAGACAAGTGAAGACCGGGATGACCCTGATATCATAGCAGGTACTTTTCAGTTGTATGATAAATTAGTATTGGTACTGATTGATCCGGGTTCTAATTATTCTTATATTACAAGTAAGTTAGTAAAGGAGTTGGGGATTCCCTTAGAAGCTACGAGTAATAAGATTATAGTAACAACTCTGTTAGGCAATAGTGCCCGGGTGAATAAAGTTTGTAAGGGGTGTCCCATAAAGATTCAGGGAATTGAATTCCTTGCTAATCTGATGGAATTACCCTTTGACGAGTTTGAAGTGATTCTGGGAATGGATGGTTGTTCCGGTATTATGGAGATGTTAGTTGCAGATTGAAAAAGGTAACTCTGAAAAGTCCAGAAGGAACAGAGATAAGTGTGAGCAGTGAAAAGTTTAATCCTTTAGCAAATGTAATATCAGTGATGTCTGCCAAGAAATTATTGCTACAAGGATGTCAGGGTTTCCTTGCAAATGTGATTGATTCAAGAGCTCAAGAGAAAAGGTTAGAGGAAATTCCAATAGTTCTAGAGTTCCCTGATGTTTTTCCTGCTGAATTGCCAGGATTACCTCCGGATAGAGAGGTAGAATTCCAAATTGAAATAATGCCGGGAACAGCTCCGATTGCAATGGCACCTTATCGAATGGCTCCGAAAGAATTGCAAGAGTTAAAGAATCAATTACAAGAATTGCTAGAGAAGGGATTTATCCAACCAAGTGTATCGCCTTGGGGAGCTCCGGTGTTATTTGTTAAAAAGAAGGATGGATCAATGCGTCTTTGCATTGACTATCGACAGCTCAATAAGGTGACCATCAAGAACAAGTATCCCCTTCCGCGCATTGATGACTTGTTTGATCAACTAAAAGGAGCTTCGGTATTTTCGAAGATCGATCTACGTTCGGGTTATCATCAATTGAAGATCCAGGAGAAAGATATTCCGAAGACAGCTTTCAGAACGAGATATGGTCATTATGAATTCATAGTAATGCCATTCGGAGTAACAAATGCACCTGCTGCTTTCATGGATATCATGAACAGGATTTTTCAGCTCTATTTGGACCAGTTTGTTGTTGTCTTTATTGATGACATACTGGTGTACTCGAAATCCCGTGAAGAGCATAGCACACATCTGAGGATCGTCTTGCAAATTTTAAGAGATAAAAAGTTGTATGCCAAATTGTCCAAATGTGAGTTCTGGTTAAAGGAAGTAATTTTCCTGGGGCATGTGATCTCGGCAGTTGGGATTAGAGTAGACCCTCAGAAAGTTAAAGCTATAATGGATTGGGAAGTTCCTAAGAATGTGTCTGAAGTTCGGAGTTTTCTTGGACTTGCCGGTTACTATCGAAGATTCGTTAAGAATTTTTCGATGATTGTGCTGCCTCTAACAAAGCTAATGAGAAAGAACGTACCATTTGTTTGGACTTCTGAATGTCAAGAAAGTTTCGAAGCTTTAAAGAGAATTCTGACGGAAACTCCGATATTGGTTCAACCGGAATCTGGCAAGAATTTTGTAGTATATAGTGACGTATCCCATAACGGGTTGGGGTGTGTACTAATGCAAGAAGGAAAAGTGGTAGCGTACGCATCGAGACAGTTGAAACCACATGAAAGGAATTACCCCACACATGATCTAGAAATGGCTGCTGTAGTATTCGCTCTCAGGATTTGGCGTCATTATCTTTATGGGGAGCGTTGCTACTTATATACGGATCATAAGAGCCTGAAGTACCTGATGACTCAAAAAGAATTGAATTTGAGGCAACGTAGATGGGTAGAGTTCTTAAAGGATTATGATGTGATAATTGACTATCATCCCGGAAAGGCTAATGTGGTAGCAGATGCTCTGAGTAGAAAGACGTTTGCAGCTTTACGAGCTATGGATGCAAGATTATCTTTAATGGGAGACGGTGGTCTTTGTGCGAAATTAACCCTTAAACCAGCATGGTTGGAACGAATAGGAGAATTGCAAGGTAAAGATGAAATGTGTTTGAAAAGAATTGAGCAAGTAAAGAACAAAGAGATTAAAGACTTTGAGATTAAGTCAGATGGAAATCTATATTGTAAATGAAGAATTGTAATACCCGACAATGACGACTTGAAGAAAGAAATATTAACAGAGGCTCATTGCAGTCCGTTAACGATGCACCCGGGTGGAACCAAGATGTATATGGATTTGAAGGATCGATTTTGGTGGTCAGGGATGAAGCGAAGCATCACAGAATTTGTGTCTAAGTGTTTGATATGTTAACAAGTCAAAGCCGAGCATCAAGTTCCATCAGGATTATTGCAACCGCTTTTCATTCCTCAATGGAAATGGGAAAATGTTACGATGGATTTTGTTTCGGGGTTACCCTTGACCCCGAACAAAAGAGAATCAATCTGGGTAATTATTGATCGATTAACTAAGTCAGCGCATTTTCTCCCTGTTAGAACGGATTTCTCTATGGAGAAGTATGCAGAGCTGTATATTAGAGAAGTTATTAGATTGCATGGAGTACCTGTTTCCATAGTCTCTGATCGGGACCCTCGATTCACTTCTAGATTCTGGAAATCTTTGCATGGAGCGTTGGGGACTCGTTTAAACTTTAGTACGGCTTTTCATCCTCAGACTGATGGGCAATCAGAGAGAACTATTCAGATATTGGAAGATATGTTGAGAGCATGCGTAATGGAATTTAAAGGATCATGGGAAAAGTATTTACCGCTGGCAGAGTTCGCTTACAACAATAGTTATCAGTCTAGTATAAAGATGGCCCCATATGAAGCATTATATGGAAGAAAATGTCGTACTCCATTAAATTGGTATGAACTCAAAGACCGAAGTGTTCTTGGTCCGGATTTAATTCAAGATGTAGAACAGAAAGTTCGAGAAATTCAGCATAACCTCAAAGTGGCCTCTGATCGGAAAAAGTCCTATTCTGATCTTAAAAGGAAAGAAATTGAATTTCAAGTTGGAGATAAAGTGTTTTTAAAAGTGTCTCCATGGAAGAAAGTGTTGAGATTTGGTCGAAAAGGAAAATTGAGTCCTCGGTTTATTGGATCATATGAGATTGTAAAGAGAGTAGGACCGGTAGCATATCAGCTAACTTTACCACCTGAGATGGAAAAGATACATGATGTTTTTCACGTTTCAATGCTTCGAAGATATAGATCTGACCCTTCTCATATTGTGACACCAGAAGAGATTGAGGTTCGTCCTGACTTGACATATGAGGAAGAACCGATTCAAATTTTAGCCCATGAAGTTAAGCAATTGAGGAACAAGACCATTCCTTTGGTCAAGTGTGTGGAGAAATCACAAAGTAGAAGAAGCAACATGGGAGCGTGAAGAAGATATGCGACATCAATACCCTCATTTGTTCGTGCAATGAAAATTCGAGGACGAATTTTCTTAAGGGGGAGAGATTTGTAACATCCTCCATGTCGGGTGAGTGATTGATTTGCAAAGTTTCAACATTTGGGGATTAAAGTAGAATGATTATAGTTTAAAATAAAGGTTAGTAATATGAAATGAAGGTAGGGACCAAATGGTCATTGGTAAGGAAAATTTAATTAAAATAAAATGTTATGGGGTATATGAGAACCACGTGGAGTATTAGGTTCCAGAATACTCTCATTCCTTCTTTCTCATTTTCTTCTCTTCCTTCTCTCAGCGTGTGGCTTGCAATTAAGGTAAGAATCTGAACTTGGTAGTTTCTTTGATGTTTTAAGATTGGAAATGAAAGCTTGGATGTTATATAAGCTAAAGGAAAGCTTATATGACATTAAAACAACAAGATTAGTGTTTTATAGATAGATTTGGAAAATGAGTTTTTAGATGAAATTTTGATATGGATGAGTTTTTGATGTTTGAATCAGATTTTTGACTTGTCAATAAGCTAATTAAGAAGTATGAGGGGTTAGAATTCAAATTAGAACATATTGAAAATTGGGTTGGATTCTTAAATTCTACATGGAGAATTAGATTTCTAAGTTTTAGAGGTATTTAATGGATAATAATTAGTTTAAGTAAGTGTATAAGAGCTAAGAGTAGTAAAGGGATTGAAATATGTAAGTTTGAGTTGAAATGGGATGATTTCCGAGCTCAAATTAGGATTTTCGGGCTAGGGGAATCGGTACCCATTCAAGGGGAACCGATACCCTTCAACGAATATGATTTCCAGAATGCTAGAGGGGAATCGGTACCCCCAGGGGGGGAACCGATACCCCCTCATCGTATATGAAATTCCAGACTGCTTGAGGGGAATCGATACCCCTAAGGGGGGGAACCGATTCCCCCATGAGAAAAAGAAGAAGAAAGAAAAGAAAGCAAGACTAAGCTATAAATTCTTTAAATTAGTAAGCTATTAAAGCTTAATTGCAAGACATAGACATCTGATGATCATCTTAAAAATTATGTTTATGTAGATACCGAGCCTACTCGAGTTCGGGAACAATCTACAAGTAGAATCGATCGAGGAAAAGGCAAAGAAGTATAGGTGAGTGCATATGCATAGCATGAATATCGTAGTATATTCAGTTCTAGACTTGTGATAAGTCTAGATTCCATATTTTGACATATGATTACATTCCATATTATGATACATGACATGAATTTGTATTAAATGTATTACATGACATGAATTCATATTATATGTATTACATGACTTGAATATGCAGAAAAAGTTATATGAACTATGTGATAAAGGTATGTAAATGATATGTCTATGTGTTAAAGGTATGGAAATACTATGTCTACGCGATATGAACTACGGGAAATGTATAAGCCCATGTTATGTAGATGAGAACTATAGGTATAGTTGGCATGCCAAGGGTAGAGGGTATACTCGGTTCTTTAGGACATATGTATATCCTTTGGAACCTGTGTGAAGTCTTGAAAGACACATACTTGATCCATAGTATATGTATATGGTTCTTAAAGAATTCTACGTGGTCCTTATGGACATAATTCTACGGGCACTTCGGTGCAATTCTACGGGCACTTCGGTGCAATTCTACGGGCACTTCGGTGCATTTATACGAGCTGTGGTGACAGCATAGTGCACAACCTCACATTACTCAAATACCTTAGGTTCTCAATACGCTATCATGGGCCAATAAACTTATTAATACAGAATAATGAATGTTACAGTCATACGCTTACAGGTATGGATATTGATGAAGTATACTACATTGATTAGTTACATGTTTGCATCTCATCTCATATGATCCTGACATTTTCATTACATTACATTGCCTTATTATTGTTGCCTCACTAAGTCGATGACTTAGCGTGTGAGTGTTTCACACGTAGGATCCGAGGAAAATAGAAGAGACAGGTGAAGCAGCTTGACAGTATTACTCCTGCAACCATCAGATCAGAAGCAACTTATCAGTAGGTTATTTTGTTATGTAAATAGCAGTTGGCATGTAATTAAAGAGTTAAGTTGTGTATGCTCTGAATATTTTTGTAAACTTATATTACAGTATGTATATTATTGTATTTTCTTAATACAAGTCCCAATATTTTACTATTATTTATTAAGAGTTGTGTTTTAAAGTCAATGTAGTATCTCTGACTCATATCCGGGTCGGGTATGGGTTGGGGGTGTTACAATTTATTTATTATTTTATTAATATATTTTTCTTTTTTAAATTATTTTTTTCTTCTTCTTTTTTTAGGGTTCGAATAAAGGGTCCGAATAAAAGGTCCAAATTCATTCCACGGGTCGATCTAGAAGAACGGGCCTAATCTATCCCATAAGCAAAATAGGGTTACAAAACCCTAGTCATGCAAAGCACCAGCGCCGCAAAAGAAGTGCGTGTGGCAGCCACGAGCTAGCAAGATTACCAATCGGTCGAAATCCCCGGGATTGAACCAACCCGAGGCGACCGGTATCACGAACGACCGAATGACATGCATGAAAATATCAGAACGAGTAAACAGCCCAAAAATCCCGTTCCGTTCGGGACACAAAACGACCAGTCTGGTGCTATAAAAAGCCCCGATGAAGCCAACCAGAAAACACAAGATCGGGGAACAAAATGGAGCAACAACAGTCGAACAACAAAACCAACATCAGAACACAACAAGCAACCGAGAGCACAAAACCAACAAACAGATAGAAACGAAAACATCGAGCCAAAGAAAAATAAAAGCCAACCAAACCCAAGTAATAGTCGGCCAAAACCGAAAACAACCAAACCAAAAACGACATAAAAGGCAAAGCTTTGCCTCATCAAGGGTCGGTGGGAGTGCATGGAAGCCACGTCGGAGAAGAGGAAGTCATCAGAAGTCGAAAGGCCACCATCGAACTAAGGTAAAAACGAACGATTTCGGTTTAGATCTACGACGTTTGAGTTTTTTTTAGAGGAATTAGGGTTTGAATTTAGGTTTACGGGGTTAAGGAAAGTATTTCGGTCTAGGTTAGTTTTTTCGGCCACGGCGACGGCGAGGAGGTCATCGGGCAGTGGCCAGAGAAGAATTGGTTTAGAGTTTTTTTAGGGTTAGGGAAGATGAGTTTTGTGGGAAATGTTTGAAATGAATTAAAAATGGGATTTTGGGTATTTATATACTATGGACCTATGTGTAATTAGAATATTTTAAATTATTTCTACAGTCCCTATAAGTTCGAAATGTAATTCATTTTTGGTCATCTGTTTCAATTTTGCCTCCAAATTTTTAATTTATTCAATTTAATCCTTATTTACATTTTTTTATATTTTGCAATTTAACCCATCTAACTTCTTATTTTTTCTTGCAGCCTGTAATTAATGTCAATTAAGCCTTTAATGTTTAGTTCCTTTCAATTTAGTCTTTTAATTCGAACTTTCATTTACATTTTTCCTTTTTTATTTTATTTTACTTCATTTTCATTATTATTTTATTATCCCTTTTAATATTATTTTTTATTTTTTTATTATTCTTTCTGTTAATATGATTTTACTTATTTTATTATTATTATTATTATTAACCCTTTTTCTTTCCCCTTTTATTTGATATTTCTTTATTTATTTTTATTTTTCAATTTAACATTTTTTTGACTTTTTCAGTAGTAATTTCAATCGATCAAAGGTAAGCAATTCGAATTGAATTTTTAAATTTTAAATTAAATTTCAATTTTCGCAATTAAGACAACCGACAAATTAATTGGTACCGAAAGGGCAGTACAAGGGTGCTAATCATTCCTTGACTGTAACCGACTCCCGAACTCAACACATTTCTAGTAAAACACAGATCAGGTAAGACGATGTCCGATCAACCTAAATATTTTTTAAAATGATCGATGGCGACTCTAGCATTTTATTCAAATCGAAACCCAATTTTGGGCCCACCCGAAAGACGGCCACAACAATTATTAAACCCTGTTAGCTTTGGAGACATGGTAGAAGATGGGAAGCAAAGTACATAGAGGACGAGTAAACATTTAAAAGGTGTAGGTATCGTATTGGAAGATTTGGAGGAATATAGGAGTATTGCTGTTATTATCCCTTTATATTTTAAAAAAAATAAATAGTTTAGGCCTAACTAGCAAATAGCAAAGAAGCCCTTTGAGGCCGGTTGAACAGCCCAATCACACTATTTTTTCCCCTTTCTTTAAAATCCCTCTTTCAGAGCAGAAGAGAAACCCTAGCAACACTTTGCATCCAACTTTGAACTGCGGCTGCTCGAATTTGCCCATTCCCAGGTAAACTTTACATTCCTAGATTCCCTCGAGGTTTATTTTCATTTATAGTGTTGTCGATGTTATTGTTAATAGTTACTCTTACTGCCTTTTTTTAGTAATAGGTGAAACGATGTCTTCTGTTAGCGAAGCTGCTTGCTCTTACGCTGCTTTGATTCTCCATGACGATGGCATTCCCATTACTGTATCCTCTATGCTCTTATGCTTCATGATTCCCCGGTTTCTAGTTTGAAGTTTATTTCATTCCTAATGGGATTTTGATATTGTTATTGAAAGAGTTAATTTCCTGTAGATTTGGGAAGTTTGATGTTTTCTTTAACTGTAGCTAATAGGCTGAGAAGATTGCAACTTTAGTTAAAGCTGCAAATGTTTCGGTTGAATCTTATTGGCCAGGTTTGTTTGCTAAGCTTTTCGAGAAGTGTGACATTGAGAATCTTATAACCAATGTTGGTGCTGGTGGTGGTGGTGCTCCGGTTGCTGCTGCTACACCTGTTGCTGCCGCCGGTGGAGGCGGTGCTGCTGCTCCACCTCCTGAGGAAAAGAAGAAGGTTGGACTTTAAGTCACAAATGAATAAACAGATGCATTTCGTTTATCACTATTTATTCTGATATGCGATATTGTTTTGGTTATTTTGCAGGAAGAGCCAGAGGAGGAGAGCGACGACGATTTGGGATTTGGTTTGTTTGATTAGAAAGCTCCTTTCAGTTCCTGTTTTGGTCGCATTACTGGTTTAATGCTTTAAGCTTTGACAGTAGTTGCTGTTTTGAATTTTATCTTTATCAGTATTTGTTTGTTTTGAGTAATCTTTCTTTAAGAATCATATGTTTGAATCTCTTTTTCATATACACACGTCTTCTAAGACCATATTTTTGGCCATTTTGGAGTGTTGAACTTATGTTTTGTTTATTTTATTACAATGCATGATTTGGTGCTTAGTTTGTTGTTTTGATCTGTAGCTGTATCGGATTTATGTTTATCACTTTTCATACATGTGCTGCTAGTATTGGATATATATATCCTCTGGCACTTGTAGGATCACACTTTTCATTCACATGCATAAGTGTGATAATATGTAAAGTATATCCTTTGGTATGATGCTGACCAGTGTTAAAAAGGGCACAAGGTGCACCAAGGCAATGGGGGTTTTATAGCCGAGGGGCAAGGTTCACCTTATTGAAGTAAGGCGCACTTTTTAAAAATAAAAGATATGCAGTTTTTTCTAGTTGTATAGTCAAGCAAAAAGAATACTTCATGCAAAGTAAACACCAAAGAGTATTCATCAACATTTTATGTATTAGGGTTTAGGGTTTAGGTTTAAATTTCATTTGATTAATGTTATTTTTATGTGGTCCCCACTTTTGGTCCAAGTTAATACGTAAAACATAATTAAAAAAATAAAAGAAGCCAAAAAGAACAAAAAACTGTATAGGTGTGCCTTTATGCGCCTTGTGTGCCTTGTTGCGTTTCATTGAAATTGCCTTGCCTAGATCCGATTAGGCGCTTCACCCTTGCCTCACCTTAGCGCCTAGGTGTGCTTCAGCTGTGCCTTTTTAAACATTGATGTTGACTGTGTTTTGACTTTTGACATTGTTGTTTGTTGATTGTTCTTGGTATGTTTTGGTAAAATGTTTTGATGGTAACTGTGGCAACGAAAAATTGGCCTTGCTAGTATCAGACTATTCCTCGAATGCATTAGATTCGATGATTTGTTTGTTTATGTTGCATTTCTGCATTTTTTTACACTATATATCTAATACAAAGTTGATTGGGGCACACAACTCAAAATGCTTGCACAACTAGAGATTTGTTACACCTGTGACCTTGTATTATTGTCTCCTTCCTCTTTAAATTGCGGCTGTTGCATTTCTTGTGCCTCTGAGTTTCTTCCCCATAGCAGAATATATAAACCGATTATGATTAAGATTGATCCGATGATGCTGTTCATGACAGCTTAGCACAGTTAGAACCCATATAAATGTTTGGATGTTAGCAACAATAAGTATTATGAAATAAGGGTTATAGTAGATAACCTTCCTAAGTAGAGTTTTCCATGTAGAAAAGAGAAATCGAACGTTGCTACGAATATTTGTACCAGTGGAGTGAAGGCTGATGTGAAGACCGGACCCCTGTGTTCTACACACCATGACATTCCCACATAGCACAAGCCCGATGCCACTATTCCCTAAGATTAAATTCCAAATATAGTCATGTTAGAGGGACCAAAACCGTAGTTATAACAAGAACGAAGAGGGTGTACTTACAGCAAATGCGACTGTTATTAGTTCAAGTTTATCCTTCAAAATCCATTTGTCAAAGTCCCTCTCTGTTACCAATCCTAAAATGGCCGACTGAAAGGCACTGAAGAGAGACAGAAATGCAGTGCTTGAATATTTGCTGGGATATCTCTTTCCAATCATAGCTTGCAGAAGGAACCATGATGACCAGCAGATGGCGCATGCAACCGGAAACATCGAACCGATACCCCATCTTTCTCTCTTCCTTGTTGAAACCATCGTGCCGTCGTAGTTTACGATATGATTATTTGTGTCCCTTGAATCCAATCCCGCCAACGTCTTTCCTTTGTAAAGTGTCAATACCATTGCTCCACCGATGCAAACCAAAGTGCCAACGACCTTTGCTTGACCTGCCGTGCTTCTGATATTCACTCTCTCTAGCCTGAAAATGTACGAGTCAATTCGAGTTATGACTCGGTCGAGTTGGAGAGATGATGAGCTTGGCGTTCGAGGATTTTACCCAAATGGTAGAGCCAAAACCAAGGTGATTGCAGGAACCGTGTTTAGGAATGCACATGAGAACGTAGCTGAAGTATATTCGAGCCCAAGAAGGAAAAAATACTGTGCCAATGTTGTCCTGCAGGGTTTGTTTTGTTTATAGGTTCTTAGAATAATTTTAAGAAGGTCAAATTTTATACAAGGTCCCTGCATTATACATTTTCAGTGAATTTAGTCACTTTTAAACTTGATAATTTCTAGTCCTTTATATTTTGAAAAAATCTATATTTGTCCTTGATGCTAACCATTTTCGGTTGATCTGTCAAATAATTTAACGTGAATTATTTTTCTATATAAGTGATCATGTGACATAAACACCTTGGCATTTTTTTTACTGTTAAACAGACAGTATAGTATTTCTCTCTTCTAGATCCCTACTAATTTGCAAGCTATTCATATTAAGTAATCCCCTCAAATTAGATTTTAGGTTTCTATCGGTTTTAAATTTGTCAAATTAAATATTGACCCCCTAAATTTTTTGGTTTAAACAGTTTCCACGTCCCTGACAGTTTTGAAATTAATCACATTAATTGTAGCGCCCATTTGTTTTTGTGGAAATACTTATTAGGTCCTAATCAGTTTTGAATTTAGACAATTTGAACCTCCAAATATTTTATCCTAGTTTCATCCTTGACGCCATCCTAAACTTTTAGGAAATAATTAGGTCAAACTGTTTGACAAAATTAATGAAAAAAGTTTGCCTTAAAGTATGTAAAGGGATTGGAAATGAATATTCTATAAGTAGAAGTGATAAATACGAAAAAAAATACATAATACTAGAACCTCGTTTACAATTTAACCTTATAGAATCAGTAGAATAATCATTAAAAAAATGATATTTTGGATTTTAGACTAACCCTATGAGAGCATTGAGGAAAAGCTGGCAGAAGACACTGGCTGTGAGCTTCGGTCTGCCTTTTCTGCAATGAAGTTAATAAACTGATTCATAAACATCTCGGGAATACAATACCAGTTATCGTAATTCAATCAATATAAAATCTAATCTTTTAAGATAACGTTATTTTTATTACGGAATTCGAATTCGAGCAACTATGTCTGCATGGTTTATTTATATATCGTTCTAGGTTAAGAAATTTTATGAACATTTACTATTTTGTAATCGACTCATACTATTAAAAACTTAAATAAACCGAACGTGTTCGTATCGAATATATACCTTTCCCGGACGCAGGCAATCGGTGTCAAACAAAGTGTAGAAATGGCTTGACGATAGACCAAGATGATTATACGGCTGGTTCCTCGGTCGAGAATCATTTTGTAAAGTGCATTTGTTGTGGCCAACGCAAAGTTGATGGCTACCATGGCAACAACAAAGCTCCATTGCCCACACCACTTCATCTTATTTCATGAACCACAAAATGGCCCTCGAGCTTTGAACTCCAATCCCACCCTTTTTTACTATAAATAAAAGGGCTTAACCCTCCATGGGAATATGAATATCGTTCCCATCGAATCCCAAGCACTGTTGGGGACTAGGGATTGATCATCATTATTCCATCACTGTCACCAGTTAGTTCTTTGTGTCATAGATTTGCACCCAATCCATGTTCTTGTTAGTTGCATCTCCTCGATTAGTCATGTAAGTGGGGGGTGGTCTATTCGAGGAGAGAAAATGGAGATTAATGGTGGGAGATAAGACTCGAGCATCCATTTCGGCCACATGTAGGGTTTGAGAAATGGAATGGAGATGAAATAATGTCTCCTGATATGATTACCGGATGCCTCAAGTAATATGTCAATACTAAATCTACTATAACTAAATCTACTATCTGATATAGAATCTATTTAGTCTGTCAACTTATAAAAAACCATTTTAACATAGAATTAAAGATCAATATATAAATCATTATCTTCTTCAAGTCTACCACTCTACACCTCCCTCATTAGACCATCAATCATTACTTTTCGTCCAAATCAAAAGGGATGAACTGTCAACAACCGTTGCAACCATCATTTTTCATCAACATTATGAACATGGTGGACCGAGAAAGGATGAGCGAGGGAGACTACCCTACAAATTTTAGAATTTTATATATTTTTAAGTTTTTATTAATAAAATGTTCTCATCTCTTACGATTTTATAAATTCATCCTCCTTAACATAAAATTCTATGCTCGTACCTAGTTACAAATGTAGTAATTTGATTGAATTGAAGATTTCAAAGAGTTGAAAGCACCATCTTACTAGGACACTAAAAGATCTTAAAATTTATGAACGTGAATTCTAATAATATTATTTTTAATGTTTGAATCTGTATTCGTTTCAAAAAAATATATAATACTACTATATCTTATTATTATTCTCTATAAAAAATTAGATATTTTTTATTAATATGGGTAAATATAAGATAATATATATTCAAAGATAACTTTCAACCTTTTGACATTGAACGCTCACACCCCTAGCATCTACGGTGCTCGAACCCGAGTCCTCAATGAATAATAACAATTCATTTACCATAGAGGTAATTTGATTCGTGCCAAAAAAAAAATTAGACCTATATTAGTGCATGAACCAAATCCCATCTAGTTAGGATACATTGATTGATGGGTACTAGTAGTAGGCAGTGAATAAGTAGATGTTGACAAATATACTCTCAAGTTGAGTGGGAATGGATTTGAGATTTCATATCATGTTTTAGGATCTAGATTGAGAATCATTTAGGGAAGTACTGATTATTACTTAAATTATTCATTATTTTGTTGATAATTACTATTGATTAATTATTTTAAGTTGTTAATTTGAGTCTTTTCGTTCATTTTCAATGCAGAACAATAAATTCTAGAAATATGACTAAAACTAATGAAATTGTGTAATTTTTGCTTTTCTAGGGTTATGACTAGATTAGTGGACATGACTTGGGGCATGACGCATCTGATGTGGAGTCCAACCAGTAACTTCTAGAAGGTCCAGTCTGTAGCCTGGTGCAAACGGGAGACTCAACCTCATTTTTAAATTCAAAATTAGGATTTATTTTTAATTTTAAGAATTATCTTTAAAATTATCTTTATGTAATTTATTTAAGATTTTTGAAGACTATAAATACCCAATTGAGGTAAGCCTCAATTCATCATTTACTTCTCGAATTCTCTTGTTTCTTTCTTTAGTTTTATAAAGTTTTACTTTTTCTTTTACTTTTCTTTCTTTTATTTTTCTTTAAATGTTTTCTTTTAAAAATGCTAAGTATGATTTCTATTATATTTAGCTAAGTTTTTCACAGCCAAAGGTTGAAGCGATTACTTAATTTTGATCGTGAGAATTGAAAAGCACTACATACCCTTCAGGTTACATTCTCAATTTTCTGAAAACTAGATTGGCGATCGGTCTTTCTAAAAATTAAAACGCTTTCACTTCAAAAATAGATTTTGGCTTGGATGTTGTTATGGTTTATCGTTGGGATTATAGAATCAATTTATTCAAATTCCCTTGAACACACTTAGCGATGGTACGCTAAGGGAAATTGAGATCGAGTTCAACTATCATAGAGAAAGCATAATTCGAGTCGGGTTTTTCCAAGCGATGTTAAACTGTTTTGAGTTAACAACGATAGTCGAAGTTAATCCGAACAAGGATTGTGGTTCCTAAAATAGGTTTGGGAAAATCAATCACCAAAGAGAAAAATGAGCAACAAGGATTAAACCTTGCGGACTCAAACCTACATTTAACCGGAGGAAAAATATATTCAAGGATCGATTGGAATTTGAGGCACGCGCAAGCCTGAGGTTGATTTCATCATATTGGTTTTTAATTAAAATTATTTTCTTTAATTCTTTTACTTTATTTTCAGAACTTTCCATCAAACCCCTAATTTTACTTTTACTAGTTATTCTCGCCTAGTTTAAAGAATCAGAAGCAATATACATCAACATCTTCCTTAGTCCCTGTAGATCAACCCTTACTCTCTCTATATTACTTTATTTTATATTTTTGAGATTAATGATATTATTTGACAGTAAAATGATGCTTGTCACGTACTCCAAAAATTTTAAATTAATATATATTTTAAATATTTTCTTATATTTTTAATTAAAATTTTGTTTCTACTCATTTTAGACTTTTATATGTTCTTATTTTATATTTTTGAGATTAATGATATTATTTGACAGTAAAATGATGCTTGTCACGTACTCCAAAAATTTTAAATTAATATATATTTTAAATATTTTCTTATATTTTTAATTAAAATTTTGTTTCTACTCATTTTAGACTTTTATATGTTCTTATTTTATAAAATTTGCTTCGTAAGTATAAAATTTTATGTCTCTCACTAATGTCATTGCATTACTGACTGCAATTTGAGGTGCTTGTTGACATAGACAAAATTACATAGTGGGCTATTGTCCGTCCCAAAATTTTTGGTATAATAATATTTTAGATCTTTTTAGTTTAAATATTAGTCAAACAAGGTTTTATCCAGTGACGGAGCCACAACTTGGTGAGGGTGGGCATGTGCCCACTCTGAAATCCAAATTTTCTTTGATTAGTTATTTATTTTACTGATGGTACCCACCTTGAAATCTGAGTTTTCTTCGATTAGTTACTTATTTTACAGACGGTGTCTACCTTAAAATTTTATTTGTATCAATCCCATTTAAAATTTTTATGTTGTTAACATATGTGTGTTCACTCTGAAAAATATTTTTGGATCCGCCACTGCTTTTGTCCATCCTAATTTTCAAATTTAAATACTTGATAGATTCTTATTCTTTTGATATACAATAATTTTACTCTTTAATATTTGATCCTAGCTACGTCCTGCTTGGTACTCTGTAATTTTTTTTTTATTTCCATAGAGAATATGAAGATGCTAATATGTGCAGAGAGTGTGGACTTAGAGTTAGATTGACTATTATTAATATGGTTATTGTTAATGACAGATCCACTAAGAACTCAAACTAGGTCAATGGTTATCCTAAAATTCTATTTTTAGGTAATTATCTATTTTATTAATTATGTTCATCCTGAAATTTTATTTATATTTATCATGTATAAAAAATTTTATGTTGGTAATAGTTAACGGAAGTGTTGATGTGATAATTAATAAAACTGATATAATTACACATTTAATCCTCATTACTTATACATTCTATCAAATTAGTCATAATTTTAAATTAATTAAATCAATTTAATCCTCCAATTATATGAAGGCACATGTCATGACATTATTGGAGAGCTTTTTCTTATTTTAATTTATATTTAATTTAAATATTTTTCTTCTAATCAGATGGTAACACGTGACTCATAGTAGAAAAACTCCAAGGAATTAAGCATCCCTCTCAACCACTGCGCCATCAACTATGTTTGATAAGTATTCCACATTAGTTATTTAACTTAGATTATAAGGAATGCAAAAAACAAAAAAAGTAACAATAAAACAACTCGAACTTTAACCCATTAAAAAATATAGCAAAAAAAACTTACACTCATATTTCAAAATAAATATTATTAATTATTTTAAAATATTAAATTTAATTTTAAAATATAAAAATATTATTTTTTTATTTTAGATCTTATTTTAACTACATTTTTAAATATATATAAAATGTATTTAATTATTAACTAATTATTATCATGCATTTAATTATTAATTAATAATTTTACTTTTTATTAAAAAATAAAGTATACAAATAATTTATATTTTAATTAAATTTTATTGGATTGTATAGTTAAAATATGTAATTATAAGTTGATTTTAATCTTGCACAAATCTTAAATTTATTTTTTTAATCTTGTATAAACTAGTGTTTAACGACTCAAACCTCAGCCTATTACGAAATATAAAAAAAAATTAGCCAATCAAAACATATGTAATTATTAGTTAATAATTAAATACATGTTATATATATATTTAAAAATGTAGTTACAATAAGATTTAAAATAAAAATAACTTTAGTATGTTTATATTTTAATATGAAATTACAAATTAAATTTTAAATAAATTACACAATAGGTAGGGATCAAATCCAAATAATTGTAAAATATGAAACTGAAATTAATATAAAAATGTACTGAATTGCATTTATTTTAAAAGTCGAGGAAAAATTAATATATATATATTATAATATGTATGATAAATGTTATGATAATATGATAATACATGTATATATAATATATATTATACTTATAATATATAAATAATATATATATATATATATATATATAAGTTTATATGTATGTTTATATAACTATACAAGTTTATATAACTATACGTTTTACTTATAAGTATATAATATAAGTATACATTATACTTATAAATATATATAAGTTAATAAAAATATAATTTTAAGGACTAAATTGAAAAAATATGAAATTACAAACTAAAATTTAAATAAATTACACAACAGGTAGGGATCAAATC